AAGCGCGGTAGAGCGCATTTACATGATATGAATATAATGGAGAGGGCTGGGTCGCCGACGAACTCAGGCTATACGAGAGAGCGCTACCTGTTGAACGAAGAGTCCGGGGATCACCGGTGACCCAGGATGTGGTCGGGATTGTCGATAGGCTCGTTGTCAACTATTAACGGATCATTCGCGGAAATCGGCTGCTCATCAAATAACAGTTAAGTAATCGTAAGAATCATTTCTGGTGCATTTGACTTTAAAAAATACCATCGGGGTTATATTAAAGCAGAGACGATTAGCATTATTTTATGACTCGAAAGTTGGAAAGTTGGAAGAAAAGTGAAATATATCTGAAACATCTTGTATATCTATATGTATACATAATTTTTATAACGAAAATAATAATAATTTTCTTTCTTGAAGATAGAAAAAATATTCATGTCCGAGAATTAAAATCTCTTCGATTCAATATATTGATTTTTATTTCTGATATTACTTCAAAATATTTTATTGTAAGTTTTACATCGATGAGTTTATAGCCTATTGAGTAATGTTATGGCACGTGATTTTTTTTTTCATTCTCGTACCAATAATTATTGTCGCTTACAAGCGCGATATAAGACATATATAATAAGATAACGATCTTCTCTCAGCTTTCAAATTAAATAGGATACACGTTTCCACAAGCAATATGTGTGCAGGCGCGTATTTACGTTTCGTCCCTCGCATCCCATCTGCCTAATTAAGGGTTATCCGAGTACATTTAATAGGATACCAACGTACTATCGCGTTGCCCACGCTAAGGCTCGAGAACGAAAATCTTTTATACTATAAATGTATATAGGATAAAGCTCTTGCACGCCTCGCACGCGCGTTTGTAGAAAAATCTGAAAATACTTTCTTCCTTTTCCGTGATTCCAGGATAGCAATTCCCCGTCTCTTCAATATCTTGCGTGCGGATAAAATCCCATTCAAAGTAGTCGGTTAAACGCGTAACATTTACATTGTTATGATAACTTTTCGACTCTAGAATCGTACTAAAGAGAGACAAAATACGTTTACAAAGGGCAACACAAAAGTGTCTCCGCACTTTTTAACGTTCATTACACAGTGACCTGCACTGTTTGGATTACGATTTCACAATCGCAACCAGATTCGCGTTCCAGCCAGATTATTTCCCGTTTCTCGATTATGACGCTCGATTATGAACGCTCCCAACTATCGCTCGATTCCTGAGATTGCTATTTTCAGGAATGGCGAACAGACGGGTTACATCTCGGGAGACGAGCTACTTCGTAAAAATGGTTCTCGCGACCTCGGGGCGAAAGGTCGGAAGTGAGAGACAGCGATGGACTTGAGATGGATGGAGGAGAGATGAGGAGAGGAAAATGAGCGTGGCATGAGAGAGAAGGAGAAAGGTAGTGAGAGTGTCGCAGAGGCAATATAAAGGGGGCAATAAAATCACGACGGCTAACAATACGGGCAGACTTGGCCCACCGCCTTCAGTTTCACCTTATCCTCTCGCGTTCTCCACTTCTCTTCTTCGCACGATGCGTTTCTTCCCTCTCCCCATCAGTACCGAGGGATGTGCAGCCTAGGTCAATTTTATTTGCCATGTGCCCGAGCTTTGTATAGACCGGCAACTCCGATGCGAAAGTTTTGAAATTTCAACTTTACGAGAGGCTACGGCGGAGCCCATCGGGAAATCGACCTCCATCGAAGTTGGAGTGCGAGGAAATTTGGAAAAAAAAGCGCAGCCATTCTTGGCAACTTCTCACCATGCTCGTGAAACGTATTTATATCCGGTTTGGAGAACGAGAAAACGGTTAAAACGAAGTAGTTAATTATTTTCATGAAATGGAATAAAATAGTGAATTTTAGAAGTTTGCCATGATGAAATAATAATTTGAACAATAATAAATTCATTTTCATATTGAAACACGTAGAAAAAAACCTTGAAAATAATAACTGAAAAATTAGAACAAATGTTCTAAAAAAGCTATTAATATTCAACTTTTTTATATCTGTAAATAAATCACCCTATTTAAAGCAACTATTACATCTTTCAATTCCTTCATTGATTTTGTGAAAAAATATCTAGTGATATAGTATTCATTGCTAATTGTAATATGTAATTTTACTATATAAATGTTAAATTTGCATCTACTTAGCTTTTAACATATCAGCCAGTTAACACTAACATTAATGGAAAAAAGTAATAAAGTATGAATTATATTAGATAATAAATGAAAATAGTTAATTTTGTAGTTTAATTAACATTAGTTATATTGTAATTTAATTAGCCTAGAGAGTTAAAAGCAATCATCAATGTACGCGTCGAACGAGATTAATTTCAATTCTCGTCACACGACAACTTCCTATGAGATGGTAATTGTCCGTTCTAAGGAATCGTTAAGGAGCAAAAGGAAGAAAGTACTGAACAGACACTATGTGAAGAACAGGCGCCACTGTCTCGACACGAGCGCATTGAAATCATTGGAACACGAGGCACGATCGCTCAAACGCCCGCTATACGCTATTATACGTTAATAAGTTGGCTAACCGACTTGTAATAGAATACGCTATACATTACTAATCATTGGATTTGCAATATTTATGACATAAAATTGCTGATATAAAAAAATGTCGTCAAAATAAAAAAATTCCAAAAAAATTGACAAATTAATAAAAAAAAAAAAAAAACTCGAAATTTTATTGAATAATATCTACTTTCTACTTCGTTTATTACCAACTACATTAAAAGAGTAAATGATACATATCTCTGTAACAAGTAAAAGATATTTCAATAAATATTGAAAGATTAATATTATAACTGTATTTCTCTCAAAGAGGAAATATGCAATAGGTATGACGCTCACTATTGATATACGAAATGACTGGAAACGCCAGATGTTAAACCAAGATAAAAGGGCGAATCTATATATCATACATTCGTTCAATTTGGTCATGCCGATTGCGACTGCATCCCTGTCGAATGTCCCGATGATTAGCCAACATCATTGCTTTGCCTGTAACGCTATTAAAACTCGCGTAAGCCTAAAGCCACCACGGTCGCGCTCGTTCGCTGAAAGCCCGGGCTTATTATATGCATGGATAACCGAGCATCCGGATAATAACAGTTCCATTCGCTTTGAACAATTTGCCGGCGTTCCGAAGTCCAGCGCTAACCGGAGAGACCTCCCTCGAGCGTTCTCTCTCCTACCGTCTCGACCAGAAAACTTTCGATTCTCGACGCATGTCGTTATTAAGCGTACTTCGTAATTAGCCGCTGCTAATAACTCGCACGTACTCGCGCACTTTGTACATTCACACATACATACATACGCGCAGGAACGGAGAGCGAATAAGAACGGGAGAAAGAGAGCGAGGAAAGGAAAGATGAAGATGGGATGTACGAGAGAGGGCCGACCCTCCAAGAATGCCATTGTGCTTTACAATATCCACGAGCTATGAGCAAGGTTATTAAAGGGCTGAGGTCGCGCCTAAGGTTAAGGGGAAAAGACGGCTGTGACCGCGGAACCCTTAAGAGGGAGAAAGAGCTTTCTCCTCGCATGTAAACCACATGCGATTTACGCTCGCTCGTACTTGTATTCATGCTTTCGCACGCAAACTAAGTGTGCTTTCATACAGGAACGTCGAAAATACGCGAGGCGAGATCAAAGCGCGAGACCAAGCCTAACTAGGAAGGATGGTCCCGTATGCGTGCTCTATGGGGATGGCGCAACGAAAATGCCCTTTATAAGAGACCAAGGAGTCGGGGGAGTTGAGCTTTCGCACCTAGTCGCGGGACGAAGAAACAACAAGGTTTAAAGTTTAAAGCTGCGTGTCATTCTACAGCCGGCTGCGCTCATATAATTATGATTATCCACATTAGAAACGCGGAGAAGCGTGCTCGAAATGAGTGAGAAGGTGACGTGAAAGACAATAGAGTCCTTACTTGTTTCATGCGGTGTTTTCAAGAGGAAAATAGGAAAAGGAAGCTTTTGCATGTATTCAGATTTTGCTTTGCTGTTCACCGATACGTATGCGTTGTAGTTCTCTCAATAGGCAAATTAAAATTGGAGTTGAGAATACTCGACTGAACCAGTTTAAAATTTGTAGATTTCTCGATAAGCTATCGATTCGTGTAATAAATAATTCTTTTGCTAACGTATCGCGAGCAGTGCTTCGATTGCGTTCACGCTCCAAGAAGCAGACCAGATAACGATGAAAAATGTCTAGCATTCGACTTTTTACATTTAATCACGTAGATATACATTAACGGAATATAAGATATATATGGTTATCGTCTTATAAATTGATCGCTTCGCCCGCGACATAAGACGAGAGTATAAATTTCTTCGAACAAACAAAAATCATGTAATAGCCGCAATAAACTTTCGCGTGTACGAATCGCTTCAATAAAATTGCCATCTTTTCATTTTTATTTATTACCATCAGCCGTCAACGTGCGTCGTTATGCCATGAAATTCAAAGTCTTTAAAAACATATAGAATTGATTAAGAAAGCAATACGGTTCAGCTAAATTCTTGGAATTTTATTCCAAAGAATTTAATGTTTTGCATTATAAAGATTGGATATTTTTTATGTAATATTATATTTTTCATTTTCATATCTTAATTATTATTAATATCTTAAAAAATGTTTAAAAAAGAAAAGACTGCAATAAATTGAAGCTAAATGGATATTTAATTGAATTTATTCCATAATCTGAAAGTGAAAAAAAAAATTTTTTAATTATTCGCGAAAGATGTATTTTCTAAGCTTTCATGAAAGAAATTATCGCAATATCAAAGTAAATAACGCAAAAGTAAGAAAAATAAAGATTTACGCGTGAAGCAATTTTTTTGCAACCCCTTAAATTTTTCATCTTTTTACAAACTTTTTATTCGATTCGACATTAGCTAAAGTTCGCGATACCGGAAGAGCTGAGGCATCACGGTAACTGGGACGCTCACGTCAAACGCGTCAGCAAGTGCGTCGTCAACATGCTATCGTGACGCGCTATCATACTCGCTAGATTGAGTGAACACTGACCTTGCGAAGAAGGCCGCGGCTGCACTGGCCTGCGCCGGCGTCCCGGGCACCCCGCTCACGTTGTACGAGTATTTGGTCTCCTGGTACACTTGATAGGCGTTTGGTGGCTTCGAGTGTGATCTATGATAGTAGTGATCACCATGATGACTCTTATCCGTCTGTTGACCGATCTTGGCCAGATTGTAACCCTGCGCGGATGAGAATGATGTCTTACTGTGACACTTGTCGCCCTTCTCGCACGAGGTAGGAGCGTGGAGAAGATGTGACTTCTCGTGCGCGGACACGAGTACGGATGCCGGTTGCTTATCCACGGTACCGTAAGCCTTGAAGTCGGCATAGCCCTTCAGTTCGCCGTAGTAACGCAGATTCTCGACCTTGTAACCGTGCCCAACATCGTGGCTCTTGGCCTTGCTGCCCTCGTGCTTGTTGTAACTGACCTCCTGCGAGGTCGACTTCATTCTCTCCGTGCCACACTTGCCGACCGCCGACTCGCCGCTGCTGTGCAGAGCGGCCTTTCCCGATAGCTTTTCGATCTTCAGCATGGATCTCTCGCTGCGACCTTGAACCCCGTCGCCGCTGCTGCTCCGATTCGACTCCGACCCAGTGCCCTTATACTTGTCACACGTCGTTATTTCACCGTATGAACCACCATCACCATCTGGGAAAACATTACCGACGCTATCGCTAGCAACGTTGCTACTATCGATTCCGTGAGTCTGATGATACTGCTGATGATGATGATGATGATGATGATGGTTATGATGATGATGATGCTGATGATTCTTTAATGACTCGACGTGGTACCGAGACTCGCAATCAATGCCGGTCTCTTGCAACAGGTTTTCCTTACTGTTGTTGTTATTGTTATTGTTATTGTTGCTATTGCTGCGCACGTCGCACGTCTTATGGGAGAGCCGTTGTCGTGCGATCGCGATGCGTGTTGCTTCTCGCGCGGTCGGCGTGATACTGGCCAGATTAGAGGGCGTCTCGGCGCCATGAGTGCCGATGTTCCCCCTTCCTGCGCTGGAATTACCGCCACCGCCACCACCGCTGATGCCGCTGCCGCCGCCGCCGCCGCCGCCACTGCCGCCTCCGCCTCCTTGTCGTCTATCTCTCTCCTCCTGCCGAATGATAACGCGACATAGTAGTCGACGTGTAGTACTATGATTCATGCATGCTTCATCGTTCACCCACCGGTCACTGCCACGTGTGCCGTTGAGAAAACGAAATACTAATGACGAGTGCAACCGAGATTGACAGCCTCTTCCAATTCAAGTTTTTGAAAAAAATTCAATTTATTCGTCACGGAATATCAGAAAACAATTATTCGCGATTTATTCAGAAGTATCGAAATTTAATTTATCAAACTATTTTATATTAAAAATATCGCGTAATAAAAGATAATTATACTGTAAAAATAATATAATATAATAAAATTTTACATTATAATTAATTTATTAATATTTTAATTTTTACATCATTCGATAATGTCTCGGAGTACTCTTACAAATTCTACAGGCGAATAAGAACTTCTTATATGTTACGGCTTACCTGGATCCTCTTAAAGTCGTCTTGCCGTCTGGACACTTCGACATACTTAGGCGGATCGGCATGATACTTGGGTGGTAGTTCTGATCTTAGCGGAGTCTCCTGATAGCGCGGCGGCTTGTCGAACTGTCGATACTTAGGCGGATCGATGTACGGATTATTCCGGTGCCCGTAGTAATTCGGCAGTTGACACTCCGTGAGATCTGACTGCGATCGGTTTAGCTGGTGATAATTCGATGTTGGTGCATTCGCCAACGTCTTCTGCTGCTCCTGATGGCTCTGCCTACCATGCTTTGCGGCCTGCGATCTCTCCTGACCACCAGTGAGGAACTTATCATGGGACTTGATGTTTTTATCAGCACGCTCTTTGCACACTTCGGATTTATCCCTCCTCTCCTGACCGGACGGGAGTCCATCGAGTTCGTAAAAGGTCAGATCCTTCTTCAGTTTCTGATGCGACTTGTCGTGTTGTCGTGGATTTTCCGATTTCATAGGTGGGTCTATCTGATAAAACGTGAGCTCGCGAGAATCCTGGGACTTTGAACGGGTCTCTTGCGAGAAGTGATGCTGCCGTTCTGGCTGAGAATGGCTACGTGAATATCGCTGATCGAATCTCGAACCATCCTGATATTTCGTTCGCGCAAATCTTTCATTAACACCGATTCTATGCCCATATTCAAGATACTCGTCACCGTATTTAAAAATTTGCCGTGGCTTATACTTCTCCTCAAACTGCGAGTAATTATAGGTATTAAAGCCGACCTGATTGAAATTTTTGCTGAGATTCGTGGAATCGTAATCGGTCGAAGTCACCGCTTCCATATTTATCTAAAACAGAATGAAATAAAGTATTATTGAAATAAACTTCGAGAATTTTATCGTATGTGTGTGTTCAATTTTTATTATAATACAATTCTAACGTTACTTCTTTAAGTTTACGATCGACGTATATTTTGAGGAAAATGAAAAGCTGGCGATGACGGATAAAACATGAGATGAGTATCCTGAAGAATCTACGCAAAATGTACAAGTGGATTCAAGAAAGACAAAGAGGAGCAAAAAGCAGAACTGGAGGCAACGACGGCGACTATAAATCGGGAAAGACCGTCTTCTTAAACGCTGGAGTATTTAGCACGAAACAAAAAGCCACCATGAGATAAATAAAATCTGACACTGGGAAGGCGTGCCGTCACTATCCACCACGTCGTGTTCTGAATAAAAGCTCGTTCGCTTCAACAAGGAAGACAAAAATAATGCGTAAGAACCCTATCAGAATCGAGAGGGTTGAAGGAGACTCGGAATTTGTGTCGAAAATCAAGCCGAGAAAACCGGTTCGCAACTCGAGACTTGAAAGTCGAGATACATGTATACAGTATGTTTCAGGAATGTTCATGTATAAATTTTAAAAATTTTTGGAATTAATATTTTCTAGGCAAAAATTAAATTTAAATGTAAATTTGAATTTGAAATGCATTAAAGTGTTTCAAGCTAATCCTTTTAGTGAAATCTTTTGATTAAATCAGGACTGCATCTTCCTAAGAGAAAATTTAATTTTACGTCATCTCTTTCTGCAATCTTTCTACAAACGTACCTTAAATTAAGACTCTATAAAATTTATCTTAAATATAAAAAAAGAATAAGGTATTAATTTGTAGTCTCTTTTATTCTCTCTTTAATGTATACTACATTAATTTCTAAATTTATATTCTCTAATAAAAGTAAAAACCACTCTGAGATTTTGTTGAGAAAAAATTGTTCTAAGTCAATCAAAAAGTTCGTAGATAAACACGAGTGTGAAAAACCTGGAACATCC